GGCGGATGGCGGCGGATTCCCCGCGCCCGTGCCCCAGCGCTCACCATCTTCCCCGGCCGCCAGCACCAAAGAGGCCGAGCTCCGCCCCGCTTCCGCTATGGCCCGGCAAGCGCTTCCGGGGGCGCGACGGCAGCGGCCGGCCCGGCCCGGCCGCGGCCTACCTGTGCCCGGCAGCCCCTCTGCGTGGTGGCCCCTTCCCACCAGGCCCGGCCTGCTGGGACAAACCGGCCACCCGAAGGCCCCGGTGTCCCGGGTGAGACCCTCGGGGACCCGCGCCCTGGAAGCTCGGTTGTCCCCGGTGACAGCACACCAAAACCAGCGGGTGGGGTGTCGCAGCGCGTCCTAGGCCGTGGTGCGACTGCTCCTGGAATAACGGCTGAGGGGTGTCCGTGTGTAAATACGTCTCTGCCTGGTAAAGAAAATGCTTAATGCACCTAAGCTGCCATACGGGCACATCGTTTTTAACTCTAACGCTGCCTCTCTGCAGTAGTGACCGTGCTGCTGTTCAGAGGTGCCTGCAGCTCCGCTCCAGGCTGCAGAGCCAGGTCCTGGCCCTACTTGCACCTTCAGTGGAAATTGTTTTAATGAATGAAACGCAGCGACAGGGTGCTCTTGGCTGTAATACATACTTTCAAAGCAAACTGGTTTAAAAAATAGGCAGCCCGTCCTGTGCTCTCTGCTTGTCCGCATGTCCCCCCACCCCACCCCACGGCTCCCCACGCCATGTGGCAGCCTGCCTGCAGTCGAAAGCATCGCAATGGACATCATTAACACAAAATTGGTTTTTATTCGGATGCACCATTTAAATTCTCACATGCCAGCCTACCACGCATCTTCAGTAGACTCACAGTCTATGTGCAATTTTATCTTAGAAGAGTTAATTTGGGGGAAATAACATGTACAGAGAGAAACTGAAGAAATTTGTGTTTATCTTGCCACCAGTTCAACACCTTGTCATCTCAAACAAAGTCGGAAATTGATGATAAAGCCAGTTTATTTATCCTTGATTGTAGAATTGTATAACCTCATGTAACAGCCCTTGATAAAAGTATGTATTTATCTGGGAGGCTAGATCTCACTCCTTCTTCTGGTTTACTGACTAAAAATGCAGTTATTCCAAAATGCAGGTGTCTGGGCCTGCCACAAGCCGGCAAACCGTGAGGAACCTTCCCACGATGAACATGTGGACAGTTGAACCCCTGTAACATGGAGCTCGTTGTCCTAAGAAAAAGGGATGGTCCCCTGGCACAGTCTCCAAAGCAGCGAGGCCGTGTCCGACGGCTGCATTTTCACTCCTGGACAAACCAGCCTTGTACAGTTGCCTCAACGTTAATTTATCCTCACTTGTTTCCCCGAGCGTGGCCCCTCACTGAATTCCCTTGGTGCTAATTTCTGTGCTGGGACGCTTTTTTTGACCTCTTCTAAGGTTGAGGGATGGGGCAAAAAGCCATTTTGACTTTAGCTGCATTGTTTCCAGACACACAAAGGTGTGGCCCAGGCTGTTCACTCAGCTCTTTCATTTTGGTCAGCAATTTCTATCACCGAAATAACACCTAAGGCAGAGGTCTTTGCCCACATTCATTTTACCTCACCTGAAAATCCAGGCATTTAATCCATCCATGGTCCCGCTGTAGTTAAAGGAGAGAGATAAATGGTTCCAAAGGGTGAATCAACCCATCTTAAATTAGATGTCTAAAGTAGGCTGGAAAAATCATCCTTGGGAGGAACCCTTCTCCTTCCATTAATTCTAACAGGAGCCTAGACAGCCACCTTAGGCTAGGCACTAGACGGCTGAAGTTAGGTAAAATGAATTTTGTCCTGACTGACTTAATGAAAGTATTTTTACAGCAATTCTGTCTTCCTTGCCAAAAATCAAAAGAGAAAACTCAGTGTCCTATGGATGAAATGCCATACAGAAAAAAAAAAAAATCCCAATTAACTCAAACAGTATGAATACATCCTACAGGCTGGACTGGAGTCATATTTCTCCCAGCAACCTTGCTGTGTGTCTTTTAACTAGTGCCTCCTTTCCTCTTTCTTTCTCGTTAGATCTCAAAAATCTGGAAGATGCTGTGAAGACATTGGACAGATGCCATGGCAACAGCCTCCAAAGGAAGTATGTTGGTTTGGCTGCCGGCAAAGATAATGCTGCCAGAGGAATTATTCTTGTCCTTTTTGGGATAAAAATAATGTTGTTCCTTTACATGTCTTCAAACCTGTTAGGAAAGAAAGATTTTTGGTATCGTCATGCAGTTTTCTTTAGTATTCAGGAACACTGGATACTTCTAGGGTAGAGAATGGGCAGAGCTGTGGCTGACCCAGTACCATCTCAGAAGCTCTTAGCCCCCGTGCAGGTCACGGGTGAGGACAGAGTTCACCACCCATAGTGAACTCCAGCCTGCTCGAAACCCACAGACTCATGTAGTGGCAGCTGCTGAATGGCACCAGCCTAAATTCAGCACTGGCTAACCCACCCTTCTTCTTTGATGCACAGGAAGTAGTCCAAAATTTAGAAGGTGATGTGTCTGGATTTCAGCACTGTCTTTTTGCTGTAGGAAACAGCAGTCTGTCACTGCAGCCAGTGTCCCATCACAGCTTTCGCACAGCACTTTTGGTCTAGCCAGGTGACGGGAGAAATTCTTTGTTGTGCCAGCAAACCTATTAAGCATCTAGATCAGGGTTTACTGAATGCTGTGGAGGCGAGTGCCTTTCTGTATCCGCTAGCACCATGTTCTGCAGCCTGTCCGATCTGGTTGGGGATGAAAAACTGAAGCAAAATGTAACACTGGATATGCCCATCCATTTTTCCTTCCATCCCTCTGGGGTACAAGCCCCTCTGCCTCAAGCTGATCCCACCCAAGGTCCATAGACCTTCCTGACTTCCTTGCTCAGCTTTCTGGGGAAGAGAACCGCCCACTTCCAGTCCCTCCCACAACTAAAGCAGAGCAGCCTTACAGATAAGTCCAGCTCAGGGACAGGGAGACCAAAGCCAGGGCTGGCTAGGCAGTAGAGCAGAAGGTGGGTATGAACACCGAATAACCTCAGTGGCATTTGTTTTGCACAGGTTTGGTGTCGTGCTACTACATCACGCCGTCACCAGGGTGCAGTACAGCCATACAGTCCCTGCTGTGACCACGGTGGGATTTGCTCCAAAAAATAGAGTAGTTGTACTGGTTCTACAAAACTTGAACACTGCTGAAAGGACTTGTGTGTGGCAAATGCAAGACTGATATCCAAGCAATTTCTGTCTAATGTCATCATATGGCATCACTTATTTGTGCACGTGTAGTGCCCTTTGCACAAGCAGGGATGACTTCAAGGGATAGGAATAGTGAAGATTCAAGCTTCGTATGTACTAGAAGCTAGTCAGTGCTTGATACCAATTATCTTCAGAGATGCAAACAAGCTGGAGTCTTTATTTCTAAATGTGATCTCTTAGATCAAAGGAATGCCTTTCAGTATCCTTTTGGATATTGATCACTTCGACCTAGGTAACAATGTCTCAGGAAGGCTGCAGGAGAACTGAGGAATTCAAAGGCAACATTTTAATGAGGGTCAGTTTGGATGCCTTTGTTTCTGGATATCATCTTGATTTGCAGAGGTAGACACCTCGGTTGGAATTAGTGGGGAAGAGTCTACACTGAATATCTGTTATCAAGCAGCCACAAGAAACATAACTTTTTTTGTATAGTATCCAGATTCTTCAGTTTGAAAAGAAAACTTCCATGTGTGAATTTGAACCAGAAGTACTGGTCACCACAAGATGACAGTATAGTTCAACTAAAACTTTTCTCCTAAACAACTCGGTAAAAACTGTCTAAACAGTAACAGTAAATTAAGTTAATAAATTGGAAACAATACTATCTGTACAGTTCTTAAAGCGCTATGACAGTAACAGAAAATACAAGCAAACAGCAATGCTTATGAAAAAGGCTCTTGCATCCTGCTAAGAAACTAATGAGTATAATACAGAAGGCTTTCTATTTGTTTAAGATGAAAATGGAGAAGAAAATTAAACAGCTGTCACTAACTTACAAAATTGCTTGTTAAAATATAGTGGAAATGATCAAAGAAATATAAAAACTCTTTGTATAACAAAGCTTATACAATGTGTACAAAATACATTTGATACTGTTGCTTTCTGTAGGCAGTCCTGAATGGGAAGGGAAGAGCCCCTTTATCACAGCTACCTACTCTTTCCATGCATTGAGACTCTTCTTTTCCATACAAAACAGCACAAAATATGACCTCACATGTAGCACACAGAAATCAATGCCAGAGTTTAATAATAAAAATCAGTTATTCGAACTCACACTAAAGAAAGTCTCTTGAGTGTTTTTCTTAATACTGAATTAGAAATTTTCCATAGTCAGTCATCCTTTCTGTTTGTGATGGCATGAATAGGTTCCTACTGATGATTACATAGCATCTCTCCATGAGCAGTGCTCATACAGGTAAGTTACATTAGAAGAGCAGTATTTTTTTATTACCACTCCTTAGCACTGGACAGAGAGACCAGACAGTAGTCTTCAGACCACTGGCAAATGCTTGGAGGGTGGCACTAACACTTGGTAGATCACGGTTGAAGCATGGCTACCGTCACAAATATAGCAGGGGCAAGAGCTCCCCACTCATTTCCTCAGCTGCCTTTAATCTTTACCCTAGGATAGCTGGGGGGGATCCTGGGTCCTTCCTCACCAGAAACCCCACTAAAATCTTTCTTTGTTGTTCCACCTAGCTAGGGGAACAGGGGCAGCATGGCTCTGTACAGCAGAGGTAGCTACAAACCTGGGACACACGTGTTACACAGTGCAACAGCATAATTCAGAATTTTAAAATTTCCCTAGTTTTTTTTTAATGCTTACACTTAAATACATTACAGGGTGGTTGTGCATTGTTGCACCAAAGCAGTAAGTCTCAGAGGGGATTTCGCTGGCTAGCCTCAAGCTTGCAGAGGTGGTCACGTGGCAATTTGGGCTGGGCACCAGAAGCAGTGCACAGGAGAAAGCCACAAGTTCCTTTACAAGGTGACAGCCATTTTCTTCTCTTCTCAGTTGAATAACAACTAAATATTCTTGTCTTGTTAGTATTATTTTGATTAAAAAACCCCTATATTGATATTGATTTGTTTGATACTGTTGTCTTAAACCTTTGAAAACTATATTGATATTGTTTTGTTTGATACTGTTGTCTTAAACCTTTGTTGCATTATTCATGCACAAATATATGCACACGCAAGCCTAGAACAAAATTTTCACTGGAGATGCACAAAAAGCATTTGAGCCACCACAGTCCAGAATTGTAGTCTGCATCGCATTCCAGGTGGAAAGGCCCAGCTTCTAACCACGTTCCCCTTATATTGCAGCAGAAAATACTTTAGTTAGTTGTTAGGTAAATTTTTGTACCAGTATAGACTGCAAAGCACTGGACTTAATTTTCCTTCAGATGGTTCTGGAGTTTTTGAGAAAAGACTGGGCAAATGTTTGTCTGAAACGGCTTAGGTGTAGCAGATCTTGTGGTGGGAAGGCAAATAGGCTGAATGACCTTCTGAGGTCCCTCCCAGCCATACTTTTGTGATGCTGTGATTTTGTAAGAGGCCTGTAAGTATAAAGACATAACTGTATCTCTAATCTCCCTGGCTGTCATGTTCTCAGACAAATGCATTTGACCAATTTTATGCTTGGAAAAAAGGTCAGATTTTCACAAATTCTGCCTTCAAATTTTGTCTCTTTTCCCATTATGATGGTTGGCCAAATAAATGCTATGGCCTCTACCTTTCAAGCTTGCCTTGTGCTGACAGGCCTGCATTTTAAACATCCGTCCTTCCCCAGGGTAACGTAGGTCTCTGACTTGCATTTTCAGAATTATTCTAATGCACATTAAACCCAAAAGATTTATCATTGAATAAAAGAAAAGCGAATGTCGCTCAGTCATGTGTGTATTATATGTGTGTATCTCTGCAGGCACATACACATGGATGGTACACACTTAGCAGTACTAGCAATGTTTTCTTTCTTTTTTTTTTTTACTGAAAAAATTATCTGAAGCTTGTCTGATTTTTTGCTAGACACAGCCTATATCTAAGCCCAGACATCATGGCTGAAATTTGCTAACTTGGAAGCCAAGTGTCTAAAGGTAACTTATAATGTCAATTCTTTTATACTTCCAAATGTTCTGGTATGAATGATACATGGGCATACTCTTTGGAAAAGAAATATAATTTCAACTGGTTGGAAAAAAAAAAAACCTTTCCTGCAGAAATGTTGAAGTAAAAGTCTTTGCCAGAAGCTCAGGAAAGGAAGCCATCTTAAATTTAAAGTTAGATTCAAACAGTTGGCTATCTTACCCTCTCAATTTTCTCACTTTTTATGTGGAGTTAAATGCTTGCCTAGGTATTCTCTGTCATCACATTCCCTCCATGTGTTACTCAGCTATGCTTCAAGTGCTTACGTGAATGATTTTATCTTTAGTAGAAGTATGTGAATGATTTTACTTCTCACCAGGCATTCCTTAGAACATGACTTGATGTTGTTCTCCTCCCAGAATGGTTCTGGGTAGCTGGAGAAACGCGCATGCATGCCTTATAGTGCCTTCTGTCTCCAAAGGTAAGCAGGTAATTCAGTTTTACAAGACCCATCCAGGTTTGGCACCTGTTAGCGTTAAAAGCACTGGTACAGCATGTATATGGTACAGTGCATTTTAAAATTTTTCAAGTATGTTGCCATTAGAAATATCCAAGTGTGTGAATAAATACAAAGCTGTGCACAAAATGTGCATTAGGTAAATATAAGGTGTCTGATATTCTTTCAGAAATACGTATTTACTTTTCACAAATATTTACTGTTCATACATTTCAAGTTTTGCTTTAGATCTAACATTCAGGGGAAAAAATACATATGTCTGCAGTAAAGTGGAAGGTCAGAGAAGAAAACATTGGAGAAAACTGGGAGACTCATGTTGAATCTGAAAATCAGTAAAGTAAGCCTAGTATATTATTTGTTATTTATTTGCTTTATCTCACATCTCACTTCAGGTATCCTAAAGAATTTACATTTATCTTGCTCTGGGACTACCGCAAATGACTGCTTTCCCTGGTCATTCTGTCCCTTCTCTAGAAATAAAAATCTAAGCTCACTTTAAAGTAGAAAAACCCATCACTTGCATAGCACTCTTTACCCTGTATGGAACTGTGGGGTTTGCCTTTAATATTCAGATGTGAGACACAAACCGTAAGAAAAAAAGGCTTTGCAGTGGAACAAAGTGGACAAATGCAAGTTCTATATTGAAGATAAAGCCTGTTTCCCCGGGTAAAACAAGTTCACCTTCCTTCATCAAAATCACTGTTGCATTTTATCATTTTCACCATCTGAGAACCTTCCCTAAGTACAAATGCTTTGCTAACAAAGGTCAGCTCAACTCTGCAGTTACAAATGTTATCTTCTGTTTATTCTGGAATGTGTTTTCCCTGTATCAGGCATTTTCAGCTTTGCATTTACTGGAACTGAGGCTTACTGGCTCCATCAGGGAATTCCCCTAACATCCTTGCACAATTTCCCTCTTACACTATTGCACTTTAATAAAAATAGAGGACAAAACAGTGCCTGGCCTTATTAGTGTGTGCAAAGAGGACACAGAAAAGAAATGGAGCTTTTTGAACTTTTTCTTACCTGATCACAATGTGGAGGTCACGATCCTGTGGCCACAAGACCTAGATTAGACTAGCACATGCAGCAGAGACAGTCTTCCGGGGAAGACTGTGCGCCAGCTGGCAGGGGACAGGGAGATGCTGTTACTGGCCCGCCTGCCGAGGCAGCAGATATGCAGAAAGGTTTTCCAAAATGTCCAATTAAGTAGCTCCCATTATTATGACTGGAGCTACACTTTCGCACCTTTCTGTCTCTGAAAGGCTGCCTTTGGATGGAGCAGGGCAAACTCAGCTTCGCCAGCACTTACGCAGGTGGTGGAGAACATGCCAGTACTTACAGTTTTAGATTTGGTTTATCACATTAGTTAGTACTTGTTAACCAATTGCTGTAAATTAGAAATGTTTTTCAGTTGTGTTTGAACATATGTTAGAGAGAGATGTAGCTTAAAAAGTGGCTGCTTGAGAAGGGGAAAATGCCTGAGGGAATGTTGCACTGTAAAAAGGTCACAAAACTGTGACAAGTCCAAGCCTACTTATTCTGTCTTACTGTATTTTAACAGCAGAATAAAATGTGGTAACCCTTGAAGTAACAATATTGGTAATTGACTTTTTCTGCTGAGTCTCTCAACCATTTTACAAGTTTGTTACTGACCTCAGTCAAAACCAACCACCAACCTTTCTCAAGCTACCTTTCTCATGGCTGATGCATTCTTTATGTGGCAGTATTTCCCTACCCAGGCTTCATTACTGCCTCAGAAGACACAATATATAGTCACCAATAAATGGGCAGAAGTGCGTACCTGTCTCACCATGAGCCCACACAAAGGAGGAAACAGGAGGCTTCCTCGTCTGTTGCTATCACAAGCCTTACATTTTACAGTCTCTCCTTGGAATGATCAGTGTTTAGCTCTTTTTTTGATAATTTATAAAAATCTTAAAGCCATTTTCTAGGTCTAAAAAGTCCGGACATTGCTGTTTGCTGAATACTTTTTCCTAGCTATTAATTGTTCTACAGAACCTCTGCCCATATTAGAAACACCATACTTTTAGTCATTCTCATGATGGTCTTTTAACCAAATAAGCCAAATAAGCACAGAATGGGATGTGTTTACGGGCTAATTAAGAACAAGTGCCATCTCCAGAAATGCAGATTCTTTCAAAGATATTTAGTGATATGCTCTCCACTACCAGATAAAAACATTTCCAATTTAAACAACTCCAAATTAACTTTTTCTATACTAACCAAAATTGGTACATACCGATAATTGCATGGCTCGATAGGCAGAAATTGTCTGAGAGTTTTATATCTGGAAATAACAAAGTACATCATTAATACGGGCACAGAAGGAGGTATGTATTCACCTACACACACACACACACAAACAAATATATTAAGGGAGTACTTTGACCGTGTGCTTCAGTGCTGCTCCTTTGAACTGAACTGCAAGTACAGATGGAATCCAGAAGAACTTGCAAAAGGACATCATGGCAATTTTAAGGGCTTATAAGCTTTTTGTAGAAGAAGTAACAAATGTTGAGCACACCTAAATTTCTCTGGAGCTCAGGTGGATCTCTGCAACTATGTCAGCCCTTTCTTATTACTGGTATGTGTTTTCATTTAGTGCAGTCTGATGGTTGTTGTATGCTTAGCCAGCCCAGAATCAGGG